TTTTGGCCTCGTAGCTGCCGCTAATCTGATATGCAACTAGCTGAGAGTCTGTTTTCAGGCAGACATGATCGGCTTCCAGGGAGATGCACAATTCTAGGCCGGCGATTGCTGCCTCATATTCGGCTTCGTTGTTCGAGGCCTTAAAAGAAAATTTTAGTGCATACTCGAAGGATTTGCCTTCGGTAGAAGTTATCACTACTCCTGCCCCCGAACCGTTTTCGGTGGAAGATCCATCCGTAAACACGGTCCAGACTTTCTTTTCATTGTCTAGCGCTTCTTGGTATGAGCATTCGGCCAAGAAATCCGCTAGAGCTTGAGCCTTAATGGGAGCCCTCGGACGGTAGCTGATGCTGAATTCGGTGAGCTCAAAAGCCCACTTGGCTAGCCTACCAGATTTTTCAACCTTGCCGAGAACTTTTTCCAACGGCTGATCAGTTAAGACCACTATATGATGGCAATCAAAATAGGGCCTCAGCTTCCGAGCAGCTACTACTACCGCGAAAGCGACTTTCTCGAGTAGAGGGTAGCGAGTCTCGGCATCCGTCAGTGTATGACTGACAAAGTAGATCGGTTGCTGACTTTTGCTTTCTTCCTTCAGCAATACTGCACTGATGGTGGCTGGGCTAACGGCCACATACAGGTACAAAGTTTCTCCTTCTGCTGGGCTAGCCAGCGTTGGGAGTTGAGGCAGATGCTCCCGAAGCTGTTTAAAGGCGTCTTTTTGCTCTTCCTCCCAAACGAGCTCTTTTGTTTTCGGGAGTTTCAGGGCTTTGAAGAAAGGTAACCCCTTATCCAAAGCTCTGGAAATGAACCTCGAGAGGGCTGCCATTCTTCCGGTGAGCCGTTGAACATCCCGCTTTGTTTTCGGCTCAGGAAGGTCGAGCGCTGCTTTGACTTTGGAGGGATTGGCATCAATCCCCCTCTTGCTGACTATGAACCCAAGGAATTTCCCTGACTTCACGCCGAAGACACACTTCTTCGGATTCAGCTTCATTTGATGCTTTCTTAAGGTGGCGAAAGTTTCAGCCAGGTCCTTAACATGGTCCTCAGATTTTTTGCTTTTGACGATCGAATTGTCGACATAGACTTCCATGTTTCGGCCCTTTTGATCGGCAAAAACTTGATCCACCAGCCTTTGATAGGTTGCCCCCGCATTTTTCAATCCGAAGGGCATCATTTTGTAATTGTACACCCCAGCGTTCATGACGAATGCCGTCTTTGCTCGATCGTTAGGGTGCATGAAGATCTGATGATACCCCGAGAATGCGTCCATGAAACTAAGCAAGGCATGGCCACTTGTCGAATCGACTAGCTGATCGATCCTCGGCAAGGGATAGAAATCCTTCGGACAAGCCTTATTTAGGTCCGTGAAGTCAACGCACATCCTCCAGGTACCATTGGCCTTCTGAACCATCACCACATTTGCCATCCGTTCTGGATATTGGCAAGGCTCGATGAAGCCTGCCTCCAGCAATTTTTTTACCTCGGCTGCGATGTCTCGGTTCTTATTAGCGGAGTAATTCCGCTTCTTTTGCTTAATTGGTCGACACGTTGGGTCAACATTAAGCTTATGGGAGATGAGGTCTGGACTTATCCCGGGCATATCAGCTGCCGAGAAAGCAAACACATCTCTGTTGTCCCGAAGGAGCTGAATAAGTTCACAACGGGTGTTCGGATCAAGGTCCATCCCGATTGTTACACATTTCTCAACGTCTCCTTCGGCCAACTCAACTGTTTCAGTCTGTTGGTCCATGTCCATTGCTGATGGACTGGACTCTTCAGAATCTGGCCTGCTGCCTATGTCAGCAGGTGTCCCAGTCTTTTTGTTCTTCGGCTGGCTCTCTGAGTCTTGCTGTTCAGCTGAAGAGCTAGCCTTTTCCCTTTCGGGCCCTTTACCTCTAGGTACAGATCCTTGGGCCGAAGCACTTAGGCCTTTCGGCTTTTTTGTGCTTGGCTCTCTTTCTTTTTCTTTCTCCTCCTCATCCTTGTCGTCATCTGGGCGACTACTGGATGGCTTGAGGTAGTTGCACCTTCGGGCGTCCTTTTGGTTGCCCTGTATCCTTTCGGGGAAGCCAGCGTCTGAGACGTAAATCATCAGCTTATGATAAGTTGAGACGACCCCTTGGATCTCATGAATTATGGGTCTCCCCAAAATCACGTTGTACACTGAAGGAGTGTCAATGACCAAAAATTCAATCATGACGTTCCTGGCTGCCTCATCGCAGCCGATGGTGATAGGAAGTGTCACCTTCCCATATGGATAAGTTGAAGCCCCGTTGAACCCGGATACCGGGTAGGGTACCGGCGTAAGGTGCTTGGGCTTCAACTTGATTTGATTGTAGGCCTTTCGGAACAGAATGTTTGCTCCGCTGCCACCGTCAACAAGGACCTTACTGACGTCGTGGTTGGCCACCGTGGCAATGATCACCAACGGATCCTCGTGAGGGAACGTTACCCCCCGGCAGTCGGCGGCTGTGAACGTCATGTTCGGCACCGGTGATTGGGGAGACTGAATGTCAGCGTTGTTCACCTGGTGAGTCAAAGCCCTAAGGTGTCGCTTGTGCTCCCTCCGAGAGCATATTCCTCCCGAGATAACATTGATCGGAGAGAATTTCCCCTCTGGCTTTTTATTGTTCTTCCGGGGGAAGTCGAGGTCTTGCCGAGAGTCCTTCGTTGACTTCTCGGACTCTTTTTTCTCGCGGTGATCCGCGATGTATTTTTTCAAGTATCCCTTCCGGACCATGTCCTCTATCTGGTCCTTCAGTTGGATACACTCCTCAGTGTTGTGTCCCGGAGATTCGTGGAACTCGCACCACTGATTTTTATTTTTTCGCTGATACCACTCTGGGAGTGGTCTCGGCTTTCGGTAACTCTGCTCCTCCTTCGTCACGCTGTAAATTTTGGCGCGTGGAAGAGAGAGCGGAGTGTAGGACTCGTATCTACCTGTGTATGAGGCATATTTTTCCTTCTTTGGGTCGCTAGCCAAAGATTGCTCCGAGGCCTTTGACTTTCCCTTTGCCTTATGGCCTTGGCCTTCAGACAAGGGTATTTGTTTTTGTTTCCCTCCCCCTAATTGAGGTTGGGTTTTCGCTTTGTTCCATTCTTCGGCTCGGATGAACTTGTCCGAGGCATTCAGAGCATCCTCCAAGGTCTGCGGGGTGTGCATGACCATGAAGTCTAGGAACTTCCCGGGCTGAAGGCCATTCTGCATTGCAAAAACGGCTAGCCCCTGGTCCAGCTGAGAGACGTTGGATGACTCGTTACTGAAACGAGTCAGATAGTCTCGGAGGCTTTCGGTTTCCCCTTGTTGCAGACTCATGAGTTCTGCAGTAGTCTTCTCTCGGCGGTTTGCCGTGGAAAACTTGCTCCTAAATTTGGAGGACAGATCATCCCACCCTGTTATGGAGCCTTGCTTTACTCCCTTGGAGATCCACGCTTGCGCGACCCCCTTGAGAGTGGTTGGGAAATATTTGCACCAAGTCGCTTCGGATCTGGGGCAAAGATGCATATGAGTCTCATACGAGGCCACGTGGTCCTTCGGATCCGAGGTCCCGTCATATGTGATGTGCGACGGTATTTTAACCGTGGGCACGTGCTCTTCCAGTATCCATTTCTCGAACGACGAACTGGCGGGTAGCATAACGACCTTGCCCTTGTTCCTGGCCGAAGGGACCGCGCTCCGCCCTCTTAGAGAGGTAGGAGTGGTTTTCGTCCCTGGCTGGGAAGTCTGGGCCTCGGCCGCAGGGAACGAGAGGCGACTGTGCACGCTCGGTTCCTTGCCGCCGAGTCGGTCGAGGGCGCTTCGGCGAACAGTCTCAGGTTGTTCTCGGTGAGTAGATTCTGGCCGAGAAGCTGAGCTGCTGCTCTTATGCGTTTCTGGTCGGGAAGTTGAGGATCCTTTGAAAAATTGAGGGTTCTTTTTCCTCTCTTTTTCAGTTTTCCAGGTATCCTCTTCCCACTCTTCCAGTTCCCGGAAGGAAGGAAGCTTCCCACCATCATGGTCTAGCTTCCTCCGTTGATGCCGGGTATGCGGAGGAGTTCGATCACGAGGTGGTGGCATATTTTGTGCCCTCATTGCCTCCATGAGCACTGCCAGCGCTCTTGCCACCTCCTCCAAGCTGGGCCCCGTCAAAGGGGTCCTCGGACGAGTATGGGAATGAGAGCGCACAGTCGATGGTTGGCTTTGGGGCACTGAATGTGTCCTATGATCGGACTCACCCCCGCTAGACCGAGAGTGACTCAGCCTATGATGAGAGTTATGAATTACGGGAGAAAGGGAATCCTCCCTGTATGATCCTCCCCCCGAGCTGGTACCCTTGGGAGAGTTCCGGTCCGGCGAGGGTGATGGTGTAGGGGTTTTAGGCTTTTCGCCTGCTCCTTGACGGAGGCCTTTGCTCTTGCGGTTCTTAGCCATTGCTACTAAGATAATTGCAAGATGATCTTGGTTAGAAATTTGGCTTAACGATTTTTGAAAGTCCTCCCCACAGACGGCGCCAAATTGTTTCGGGTGAAAACAATGGGACCTTGTCGAAGGTCCGATGAAGTGGAGAAGACTGGATTCGGTCCAAGTGATGTTAGGCCGAAGGTTTCCTGCACAGTAAACACACGTAAACTAGCCTCGGGGGTGTTGCCGAGGAAGGCCCCTCCGATGCTAAAGTCAGTACAGTGTGTAGAAAGAGAACACTATGCAAGAGAATTAATTGCTTGAGGCTTTTCTTGAATGAATGTACAAATGTAATATTGATGGCTTTTATACCTTTGCATATATGGAGAAGTTGGGCCTTAGCCCAATTGGCTTGCCTTGAGGACTGATCTTTGACTTTAGCACAATTGGAGAGATGAACCTTGACCTTGGGCTTTTAATTGGATCATTTAATGCCTAGGCCCAATTGGACTAAATTGGACCCAAACAACTAGTATTACTAATTGCTAGTATTAAAATTTAAAGATGGATTTCTAACATATAATATCACTCCATGATTTAAACATAAATTCTACAGCACCTCCCTTATTGAGGTATGGCAAATATTGTGGACTTCTGTACAGTGGGTGTCCTGGAGAGAAGCCATGTGATGGGCTTGATACTTGTTGTATGGAACATGACAATTGTATCTCAAGGAAAAATAGTAAGTCAATTTTTTCAACTTTATCATAATTTAATGCTTTGACTTAATTATTTTAGGGTATCATTAATTTGCTTACCTATATGATTTATTTTTTCACTATACAATATTATCCTTTTTCTATAAGCTAAGGTATGATACACGTATAAATTATTAAATTAGACATGTCTTTTCTTAAGATCGTGACCTATATATAATGAATGCAGATGACTATCTAAGCCAAGAGTGCAGTAGAAATTTGATAAACTGCATGGATAGATTTGCGAAATCACGAGGGCGTGGTTTCAATGGTAGCAAATGTGATGCAAGGAAGGTGATCAAAGTCATCAAAGTTGTCATGGAACCTGCTTTAGCTGCTGGGAAAGCTCTTGACAGACCTTAATTAAACTTAATCTTTAGCCTAGCTAGCTACTTTATTTAGGGATCGGAAATTAATCTTTAATCAACGAACTAAACTTTAGATTGTCTCTACGGCTCTATATGTTTTTCAATAACTATTGACACAGATTTGGGTTTGATGTTATGATAAAAAAGAGCTCATAGTTACCCATTTTTACACTCGTCACAAAGTTTGACATACGTTTAAGCTACTAATCATGGTAGTTGTGTAGTAAGCTAGGTATAGCATAAAGATAATTTCTGCTATTGGTTTTGTTGAAGATGAAAAACTATGTGTTATATATATTCCTATTGTTTCTTAATATATACTTTTTTTTTTGAATGTAATGGCGGTAGTTGGGTTCTTAATATATACTCACAAGACAGTATTTTAATTTTTTATAATATTTGTATATCAACTTTAAATTACATTTTTTTTTACTATTTAGTATTATATAATAATACTTAATGTGATCATGTTAGATTTGATTCAAATGTATATATTCTTCTCATATTTTATTGAAAAAAATATATTCCATCTTGCGATTAAAAATTAGAAAAGTGGAAAAAAAATATATAAAATTTTGGGTTCTTTCGAATGATTATTAAAATACTATAAGGAGCATTATTATTCCAAGTAAATTATCATATATGTTCTATTATCGTTCGATACTTATTACTTCCCCTTGCCAAGTTGCCTGCACTAATCCATCATCGACCGTTATGTCGGAATGATCTCACCAATAAATCACCCTCTGGTATCCGGCGTAGGCCAGGTAAAGATGGCTATGGACCGTGTCGGGTCGTATTTCATGTTGAGTCCACGTGCTTTGCGTTTAGTTAGGCCCGATCCATGGCTCAGCCCACGAATTTCTTGTCGTGCAAGACCAGGACGAAATTTTCAAAAGGTTGGCCCGTGCACGGCCAGGCCCACGTGCCATCGTGTCGGGCTTGCGTGCCTAAGCAAAATTTCATTAATTTTAGCGTGCTTTGTCGTGCCAGGTCATGTCATTCCATGCCTTATCGTGCTTCTTCTAAATAAAGACGACCTGCGTGTCGTGCCGTGCTTTTTTCATACTGGGTCAGCCCGACCAATGCCATCTTTAGGTGTAGGTGGTGTTACTTCTAGTGCCTCTACGACGGTGAATCTTTATAAATTTATGAAAAAAACCTACATACAATGTACAATAACATAGTACTACCCCTGTTTCATAATGATGTTAACTTTTTTTTTTCACGCGTGTCAATGTAAAAAGTGGAAAACCTTTGATTTATTGCGTTTTGTGTATGGCACCATGTGGCCTATATATTGTAAAAGAGTAAAGTAACCCCTATAACACTGATCGAATAACCCCTGCCATACTGACCGAGTAACCCCTATAACACTAATCGAGTAACCCTTATAACATTAACAAAGTAACCACCAAATGGACAAGCTCGACGGCCCCATAGAACGGGTGCTTTAATTACCCACCTCCAAATCTCAATGCTTTCAATGCACCGGGAAATATTAATTTTAATGGAAGTGCAATAGGTGTCTTTGTTGGACCAAAACCCCCTTCTGTCACTTTCATTCAACATATTATTATTCACGCTGGATTACTCGTGGGTATATAAGGGTACATAGAGCAGGGTCTTTCTACCTGTTTGAGTGCTTTGACCCAACTGATTTGGGAGGAATTATCCATCAACAATCTGCTATTTTTTATGGGCGAATCATCAACCTCAGAAGGTATCATGTTACCTTCATTCCGCAGCAGATGCACTTCTCAACCACACGGATCTGGGTTCAAGTCTATGGCCTCCCTCTGCAATTCTTAATTGAGGCCTGGGCTAGAAGAATTTTTGTTCATCTGGGTTACTTGGATGAACTGGAACAAATTGGTGATGGGCTTCTAGATCGTTCGGAATTACGGGCTAGGATAGGGCTTGGTAGGGACCCTTATGCAGAATTCAATACGAATCAGGGCTTTTTCTCATGATACTAATTCTGATTCTTTGCATATGTCTCAATCCTTGCAGGTTAATGCGCATAATGGCGCTCCACCTCTGCCTGCATTCTCTAACCTTCTTATTGTTGGGTCTTCTTCTTTGGAGTAGGTTATAACACTCCAATAATTTTCCCTTTTCCAAACCACTTACTTTAAATAAAATAGAGGAGAACTATTGACATGTTACCGCCATGTGTTAAAACGTTAATTAAGGCTTTATCAAACTATCGCAGCGGAAAAACCAAACTTAAGTCTTTAAAATAACATAGTTTAGAAAACCAATAAGTCAAAGCTCACAAACTGGAACCATAAAGGCCCTTATTTAAAACCAAATCAATATTCAAAACCCAAATCATAAATGAAATATTAAAACATAAATAAGTTCAACACAAGGAACGAATACTCTCAATCACACCAATCCCTTGACAGTGCGATTGTCAAATCCCCGAACTTCACATCATTAAGCTAACCTGTGTAATACTGCTCCCCAATAATACAAGTGTAATAATTGGATCATCACAGGGTCATTGAAAAGCGAAGGCCATGACCAAAAGAAAACACACAAAAGCACGCAATCAGCAAAATTGGGTACATACAAGCTACAATGCACGAAACCTAACATGTTCAACTAATTAAAGTAAAGAACATTCAACATAAATTCATTAACCAAGACTCCACACTAAAATAAGTCAATCAATTAAACATACTCACTATCCAATTCCAATCCACTTGACTCTTTATATTTAATTTAATTAATTTAATTGGAGTAAGCAATAGACGATGTTGTCCAACCCACCAAATCATTTTGGTCCCAAATGACCATTTAAAATAAAAATATAGCGCGATGCAAGAATGGGCGTGACTTCATTCTCACAAAGTTAGTCTAGGATCCCATCTAACTTTCATTATAAAATAAAAATGTAAATACCAAAAGAAAAGAGGACATGTTGATCAAACAAGCCATGGAAAGCCACGGGCTACCACCGTGTACCCCAACCCATAATTGTCAATACTCTAGAAGTGCACGCTTTCTAGAATTTTATTGCTCATCCATGTTTCACTTAACGTGATTACAAGTTTAATTAATAGCCGACTCATTCAAGTAGATCATACATAATAATCATACATATAACTCACTTTTAATCTTATTTAGGACAACGATGATCACATCACAAATTGACCTTTAATTCCTTTAAATTCCCAAAGTATCCAAAATTGTTGAACATAGTCAACCCACCTAGCCATTTTGGCTTAATCCACTTTTACTTAACATACTAACAAGTCATGTTTGAGTAATAAATAAAATAATAATAACCTCATAGAATGTTTAAATGTCCATGCAAATGAATGTGATAAACATTGAAAAGAAATCTTTAAAAAGAGAGATATAGAAGGATTTTTGTTGGAATTATACCTTAATCATCCATCAATCAATCAAAGATGTATTAATTTAGAAGCTACCCTTAATCAATCAATCAAGACCCTACAACTAACACTAATTTATATAATACAAACTCCTAATTAAACTAGTATTATAAACATATTATTATATAACTATAAAAGATTATATTATACTCTAGTATATTATACTCTATTATAATTATAATATATGATACAAATAACATTATTATTCTAGTACATACTCCCAAAAAGATGTCACGAGTAACACAAAGACAAAACTCTCTGTTTCTGACTTAACACAGTACTCATAAATCAGAGCCATTCAAAATAAGCTGTTTTCAGTTGGTTCAATGTTAGAGCTTTTTTTTCTTAAACTCCTTCATTATTTTCTCCCTTAATCTTTCCTCTGCAAAAAACTTTTTAACACAATAAGAATAACTTATGGCTTCCTTGAAATTAGCTTTTTTAGCACTCCCATATTTTTTCCTTTTTTCTCTTAATTTTCAAGTCCAGGCTCTTAATATTGGTGTTCAATCCTCTCTCCAATTGGTAATAAATCTCTATCTAATTATTCTGTTTTTTTCATATATAAAAGAAATTAGTTATATGCTAATAATATTATGTGTTTATTGGTTAATTTTGTTTCTGCAGAGTAAAGAATGCAGTAGGAAATGTGAATCTGAATTTTGTTCAGGTAAATTAATAAAATTTCATACTTCGTTTTAAATTATACATCAGAAATTTACCTCTGTTCAGAATTAATTGTCACGTTGATACAACGCCGTTTAAATTACGTTACGCCTTGTATGTATCAAATTAAAGTGAGCATTAAATTTGTATGATGAGAATTTAATGATTCAATTTGAATTATACATACAGTACCTCCATTTTTGAGGTATGGCAAATATTGTGGACTTCTATACAGTGGGTGTCCAGGAGAGAAGCCATGTGATGGGTTGGATGGTTGTTGTATGAGCCATGACATTTGTGTCCAAGCTAAAGGCAGTAAGTCAATTGTGTTTTTCATTTTTTTTTCTTAAGAAGTTACGAGTATAAACGAAAATCATCATGAATAACCGGTTGTATCTTATACAAGGTACAATTAGGACTATTTTGTTATCTATGTACTTAAACCTGTTGAATGGGCGAAATATTAACCTTAGTTAGACCTTTCAAGGTATAATCGGTTGTATGGTGATCGTTGAACATTTAAGCCTCCTTATCTTATAATTAAACAATTACAGAGTATATTAGTTTTGACAATATATGCTTAGTTTGGTAGTAGTTAGTTGTTGTATTTTCACATCTACATTGTCAGTACTTGCAAAAATTATTCATGCATATCAATACAATTATAAAAACTAATTAATCTGAATTCAGGCCATATTATTTATTCTTATAAAGTTATAATCACTCCGTTATGCTAATTAGCTAGCTAGCTTTTGAGTGAATCACCGTTAATTAATTTGAGTAGTTCTATTTAAAAAAAAAAAAAATGATTAGTAAAACCCCAAATCATGCAACAAATTAAGTTTGACCTCACCATTTTACAAGGAGTATAAGTCAATGTTTAGCCTACACAAGGTAAGTTTGACGTACATGATAACATGATATAATCAAACGTTTTAAGCAACTACTAGCTACTTCCAATAATGATCAAGTTGCAATTTTAAATTAGTTTTTTATAAAAAAAAAATTAATAAGGAGACCAAACAACTCAATTCTAGGTGCTAATGTTATCCTCTACCATAGAAGGGAAGACAGTAATTAAAATTAAATTAGTGTTAGAAAATAGATTACTTCGAATCAATAGAAGGGAAGAACAAAATTTTAAGTCATGTACACGCACTACATATATGACACATCGCACAGTCGTGTAACGTACAGTATATAGTATATCATAATATATTGACATCAAATTTTTTTTGTTAGTTCAATATATTCATGAAAAAAATGTTGATAGATGAATTGAAAATGATGGAAAATGCAGATGATTATCTAAGTGAAGAATGCAGCAAAAAATTCATAGATTGCATGGACAGATTTAAGGCAGCAGGAGGACGTACTTTCAAAGGCAGTACATGCAATGCTAACGATGTTATCGAACTCATTAAAATTGTCATGGAAGCTGCTTTACTTGCTGGCAGAGTTCTTAAGAAGCCATAAATTAAAGCTTATTTAGCCTTATTTTTTTTTCTTTTGGATTTGGGTTAATTAATTATGTAGGGAAATTGAAAAGGGAACCAAATTGCATTTCATTTTGATAATAAAGTGAAGATTAATTCAGTTGCTAGGTACGAATTGAACTCCTAATTTATGATATTTTTCCGCAATTTAACTTGTATTTGGGGAATTGGGGTATATATATGCTTTACTCTCCGCTTTTAAGTTGTTTAATATTGACTTTTATGATTGCAAGTATACGTACAATTTTAATCGATTAATGCTGTGAGTATGTTTAATTATCTGAGTTTAAATTATAGGAAGAAGTTAATATTTCCAAAATATATATATATATATATATATATATATATTGTGGGACATCAAATAAATCCAATAACACTTCACCTAATTATCATTTTTATTAATTATTAATTATTATTATTACTGTTGTTGTAGCTCTTGTTGTTTGAGAAAAATGATCAAAGTAAGACATATGATTGATATGTGCAAAAATAATAATGTGAAACAATATGAATTTATATATTTTGATTGTTATTGAATTATTACTTCAAATATAAGCTAGTTAGAATAATTGAGTTATATGAAGTCAAACAATAGATGGTGACTATTCACCAGCTAGTGATTTGCATGTAACTAGATACGGATTTTGAAAATCTAATGTATGCGTTACCTACAAGAAATAGTCATGAAGATGACCTGGCCTTAAAAAAAAACTCAACCACCCTGAAAAATGGTTAAGTGTCCATCAACTTGATTAATAAAAAGGGCTAGTTTGTTACAATGCCTTTCCAAAATTTATGAGAGTGCATGCATGCTTTTGGTCAAAATTGGCATCACTTGAAAACTTGAAAGTTCAATTCAAACTAGCTCAATTAAAGATAAAATAGATTAAAAAAATATAAAAAAAAATCACGGCATATACTCTCATCAAATGTTATCCACCATAACTAGATGTACAAATTTGCATCAAATAAGGAGAAACATGTGATTTATATATTAAGGCGGTAAATACACCAAATATTAGTGTTAAATTTTTTTTTTTTGATAGGAAGAAAAAGGGATTTTATTAATAAAATATAGCCAAACGGTACTTACATATAATTCCTAAGAAATCAAGAATTTCAACGCAAGTACACACCTTAAAACTAAATACATCGTAGATTTGATTAACAATCGCCTTAATAAATAACTTCATCTGAAGCAATACAATCTGTGAGTTCGCGCTGATTCGGCTTGAAATCCACTTATGCGTAGTCGTTTGAGTGAAAATACTCATGTGGCCCTCCGTATTCTTGTAGAGATTATGAAACCCTAGATCTTCAATTTTTGCCATACAAACATAAAAAGAAAATAAACTCAAGTGAAAAATCATCACCTCAAGGATGAGATGTATTTATTAAAAGCAATTAAAAGGTTTTCGGGGGCTTACCACCGGTAAGAACACCAGTGGAAGCCCCTACAAAGATTCACAATTGAGACCAAGAGGAAAGAGATGGTAGAGATGGAGAGAAAAGGGAGAAGAGAGAAGGAAAACCTTCAAAAAAATTGAAAAAAACCTAGCAATGGAGGCTAGGAAAACCCTCCCAAGGAGAAACCCTAGAGGGAACAAAAAAAAAACCCTCCCAAGGAGAAAACCTAGAGGGAACAAGTGATGTTTCTTCTATATATAATAATGGAAATATGACGACAGTGTTAAATTTAAATACTCTTTACTATGCACCAAACGGTAATAAAAACCCTAAATGTTAGAACTGAAATTGTTACTACTTAGATTGGATCGTTAATATATGCCATTTATCTTTTGACACTATAGATATGGAATTAATGTTTGTAATAATACTTTAGCTGATTTATGGGAGTTTTTTTTTTTCTTTCACGATACATTACTAACTTTAGGAGTTCCGACTTTCTTTTCCTTTTAGGCCCTGGTCACTTTACCTTACAAAAATAATATTAAGTAAATTATAATTTCAGTTCAGTAAAATTAATTTCAATTCAATAAAAATAATTTAAATTCAGCAAAAATAATTTCAGTTTAGCAAAAATAAGGTAAAGTGAATCAGGCCTTAGTGAAAAAAGTGGGGGTTGAGAAGGGTTGTAAAACGACATCGTTTGGTAAAAGAAGGCTAAAACCCAAAACCCCTCTTTCATTCATAAAGCAGCAGCAGCATTCAACATTCTCTCTCCTCAGCTCCTACACAACCATGGCGGCGAGGCCTGAGCTATTAGCACCGCCGGAGATTTTCTACGACCAATCAGAAGCTCGCAAATACACTTCTTCTTCTCGAATCATCGATATTCAGGTCCCCTTTTCTCTCTCCTCCACCTTCCTTTTCTCCCCTCTTTCAATCTCAATGTCTTCTTAATTATATTCTTAACTTCTGGTTCGAATTTTACTTTAGAATTGTACCCAGTAATTCTTTCCCATTATTTGAATACCCATTTGATCTTTTTGCAAGATTTTGAGTTTTGATTAGTGTAATTCAATTAATTACCCTGATGTGAAAATGTTGAATTTATGTGTTTATTAAGATTGTATTTTGATTTAATTTATGTTAATTCTAGATGCTGTGTGTAATTTGATTACTGTACTTTTTAGTTGGTTATTTGAGTTGCCAGATTGTTGTGAATCCTTTGTATTTGGTTGTGCAAGTTATAAGCTTTAATTGGCTATGTGATGATCCTTTATGTTGAATAAGGAAAACCGGGTGTTGGCAAATCAAAGTATCAAACTCCTACGGGTTCTAGTGAAGGGGAAGTAGTTTAGTAAGCAAGCAAACTTAACCCAAATCCTTAAGTAAAAATTGGGTGTTTATAAATTGAGCTCCCACTAGCTTAAGTGAGGTGATATTATGGAAAAGCAATTCTAGAGGAGTGTAGTAATTTACTCCGAAGTAGGCTAGCAAACTTCACCTATATAGTTATATTTTGCATTTACATTAAAAAAAAAAAAAATTATAAAAAAAAAAATGTTAAAGAAAGGGGTGTGTAATCAAGCGCCTAAGAGCTCAACTGAGGCTTTTGTTCCAGAAGAGTGATTAGTTAGGAGTGGAGTAGTTTTATAGGCTAGCAAAATTTACCTCTATAGTTATATTGTTAGCTTAGTGTTGGTTTGGATTATTTAAATATGGGTTTTGAACTGTTGATATATATGGAATCATTAAAACCATTTTTGTGTGATTTTTTTTAAAAAATTTATTTTCAATCCTAGCTGCCCATTATTATCGAATCTTCATCTAATTTTTTTTTTTTAAAATGTTCAAAGTTTGTGGATTAAAATGTAAAATTAACTCATAAATCTGAACCTCTGTTCATGTATATAGAATGAAAACAATTTATCATTGTCTTCCATCAATCAGCAAAAAAGGCAAAAGTAAAGATGAGCTATAGTTTCAGTTTTCATCTTGTACCTTTTAATTGAAAATTTAATTGTTGACTTGCCTGTTTCTGATTTCTAGAATTTAGACCGTTTTCTTTTATGAGGAGGACCTGATTATTTGGTAATTTAGCTGAACCTTTTTATTGTTGCCACGGCAATGAGGTGAACCAAGAAAATGTCAGATGTAAAGTTGAGACCTTTGTTTTTATTTAGGCTTAATATCATTTGATGTTTGATTAACTATTGATGTAGATTCACTGTTTCACTAATAACCTTTTGTTTTGGACACTCTCTTGTAGGCAAAGTTGTCTGAAAGAGCATTAGAATTACTCGCTTTGCCCGATGATGGAGTCCCCAGATTGCTCCTTGACATTGGTATCATATTTTACTGCAACTTATATCTAATTTCTGGAGAAGTAATTTCCTTTTTGTAATATGAAATGAGCATGGATACGTGAATTATGATTTTTTCACTTAAATCTTTAAATTGTCATTTTTGTTTCTTTGTTCACTTGGATTTCTTCACATCTACAAAAGATGTTGCTTCATTACTAAGTGTTATTTGAGTATATAGGATGAGCAATACCATTTATACCGTGTTTTGTATTTATAACAAGCTTGATAAGATGCGAATAGACTGTATAGTTGCATTTAGAATGGTATAGTTAAAATACTATGTTATAACCTCATGACACTCAACTGAAGCATTCAATCTGCAATGTGTGGATGTATGTATATAATGGTTTTCACACTAATTTTTCCTTGTCTGCGATTTTAATCTCAAGGAAACTGGATCCATGAAGTTTCTCGTCTTGTATCAGTTGTATGTCACGCATACATGCTTGATTCAGAGCTGTAGCATTGTTAAAATTATTCATTTACTTGTTTCTCTATGTAGGCTGTGGATCAGGGCTGAGTGGAGAAACTCTGTCCGAGAGTGGGCATCAGTGGATTGGTTTAGATATTTCAGAGGCAATGCTGGGTATCTCAATTGATTTTCTTATTGCTTTCATTTAATCTTCAGTATAATTGCTGCTTCAACCATTTTTAACTTTGACTTACTTTTATGCTTATGCCAGATGTAGCAGTGGAGCGAGAGGTTGATGGTGATCTTCTTCATGCAGATATGGGTCAGGTAACTTTGTGCTATCCTTGATTGCAATACCAATTTTCTTCCTAGAGAGAGGGAGAAGGGGTTTCTTGGTTATTCAACATCATGGACTGTTGTTGCTTAATACAATATCTTCTTGAACTGTTTTGTTGTTTGGGTGAAAAGAAGAGTGTTAATGTGAGAAAATTTTCCGAAGTTTATTGTTATTAGGTAAGTGTAGCCTAAGAAGTTTCTTAGAGGGCTTTTACTTTTGTTCTTGTATTATCTGATAAAATGACATGTATTATCTGATAAAATGAGTGTATAAGATGATAAAGAGAGACTTAAGTGATGAGACTTATAAAATCAACTTGCCACAATGGCCCCGCCCATCCTTCTCAGCTCCTGGTGGGTTAGTGGGTTTAAGTGTAATGAATTTTAGAACTGCTTCCTGATGATTTGCTGATAACATGGGTATTAGGAACTTAGGCATACATTTCTTTGACAAAATTTACTCTCATATGTTTTGACTTTGTGAATGGATAATGGGTGTCTTTTGTATCATTTGATTTGGTGATCAATGGTAGCAATCTGTTCTTTCATAAATGACTTTCTAGAAAGCTAATTAAAAGTTTAGTCATATTTGCGGATTATTGGAATGGTGTTCATAATTGTGGTGTGATGAGTGGTTTTTGCTCTAGGAACTGTAGGAGTGTAGGTTGAATTGTCAAATTGACTAGTCATACAGATGGTAGTTGAAAAAAAAAAGC